GAAAAACAAAAAAAGAAAATTCATATAGATATCAGTAGTAGTAGTAACGAAAAGAAAAAAAAGAAAGATAAAAAGAAGAAATAACAAAACCACAGAATTTTATGTTTTGTACTAATTTATTTCTGTTTAATCTACTCCTTCTAAACAATTCAAATCCATTTGTAATTGAATAGAATTTTTGTTTATATTAGATATTTTCAGTCCTAGTTTATTATTACCCTTGAAATTACTCTTTGCTATTTTCAATTTAATTACTTCTTATTTCTTATATCTTTATAAAGTCCTATTTTGAATTAACCTCAATAAATTATTTTAAATAACAAAAACAAATCTTATCATAACTGTGGTGTTCTTCTATAGGTTATACCAACTAGATATTTATACATTGTTTTGTTTCTCCATCAGTTCAAGAACTAATCATAATTGAACGAAAAGCATCTTCTGTTTTAATAAAATTGATTAAAATCATTTATAACTTTAGATTCATTAACCATTAATATTATATTATAAAACACAACTCTTATTACTGTCTTTGTACATAATAACACAATTTAAACTAATACACATCTAATAATGTCTCTCTTTCAAAATTTTTAAAATGACAAAATTCTTTGAATTGAACATTATTGTTTTATTAATTATGGAATGTTGACACAGAAATCACAATTCCTATTATAATTTAAATGAACTGTAAATTAAAAGTATTATTAACATATTAATTATTTTTGCTTATACGTTGTTAAAATAAGAAAAAAAATAATCTTTCTTTTAGTGTTTTTTATAAATACTTTTCTTAAAAAGATTAACAGTAAATATGAACTTAAATGAGTATTTTTGATTATAAAAAGATGACCCTTTTTATTATAAATAAGTCTAATTTATTCTGACCATTTCAAACTTCCTTGTATTATATACAACTATTCTAATGGATGGAAAAAGAATCTTAATTAATTCTGTATATATAGATGCTCAAATAAAATATTTAAATAAATTTATAGAAGAAATTCAATTTTCCAGAACATAATTAATATTCTTTTAGGGTAACTATTTATTTGTTTTAATGGATGAGATACAACAAATGACTCAATGTTCAAAAAAAAAACGATTTATTTTAAACAAAGAAACCAAGAAGTAAATTATATCCATATTTTGGGGTAAATAGGAAATTATGGTTTAAAAAACAATTTATTATTTCAACTCTATTTTTGTAATTTGAATTACTCCTAAAAAATAGTTAGTTGGTCATAATAAGAAAAAGATAAATAATTAAATACATAGAGGTCATTCTGTCATATAAAACGGTGATACTTCAATTTTTTAAATTATTTATTTTGTTCTATTAGAGATATTTTTGAATAATCTATTAATAGATTTTATTACCAATAAGATAAATAAGATATTTTAATTAATTTAATTAAAACATCTTAAGAAAAAGAATTTTATTTCAATCGTAGGATTAGTCATATGCTTAATGTTACTCAAAAAGATATTAAACCCAAATAAATCTGCTCATTAAAACGATGAAATGAGAAATGGTATATGAGAGATCAAATAAATGTAATTGATAAGATGTGGCTTAATTGTTATTAAGTCTTTTATTATCTAACATTTTCCTAAAGTTAGACTGGAAATATAAAGAGAAAAAAATATTTAAATAAAACAATAAACATAGTTTTATTTTTTATCGTAAATAAATATAATTAATTTATTATATCCAGATTTTTCATCATCTTCTTTTTATTTGTATCTAATGAATTAAGTAATTTTGTTTATTCTTTAATAGAACCAACAACAGTTGACAATGGTAATGACTACTTACAGTATTTGGCCTTCAAAATGAATCTATTTTTTACTAATTAATAATAAATCTAACTCATGATGAATAGTACAATCTTATAACAATTTTTTTAAAAGAAATTGTACTTTTCATAGTATTATTTTTGTTTTTTTTTACATAAAAAATTTTCCAAATAGACAAAACTTTTATCTAAGAATTTAAAAATTCAAAACCCTTAATTATAATAAACCATAATCAAGGGTTTTAAATCATTATTTTTTCATTGAACTTATCTCAAAAATAGACAAAAAAATTTTTAATATGAAATCTAATGGAACAAAACCGAGTCGATCAAGAAAAATAATACAACCTATCATCTCCTTACCAAAAAGTCATAAAAACATCAAAACAATTCAAAACAAATCCACTAATAATTTAATTTATAATGAGATATTAGATACTCTTTCAACGCAAAATGCAGAAATGTTTTATCAAAGGATTATAGAAAAGATATCAAATGAGAATAATACAATTCATGAAGAAGTTAGTGAGATTAACAAAAATGAGAAAAACAATATCAAAGAATATATTGAGCAAATTATTAGTCATAAAGAATATGAAAAATTAAAAATAACTATTCAAAGAAAAGTGGTAGTATTAATACCAACAATAGAAGAAAGTGTCTTATTAGAGATTGTTGATAATATTATTTATAATTTATTAAAGTATGGTAGTATGACTAAACATTGGAAAGAATTTTCTTTTGATATTGATAAAACAAAAATACAAAATGAAATAATAAAACAAATAATAAAACAATACAAGAAAAATGAAATTATATTACAAATATTATTTGTTGATTCAATTATGAAATTCTCAGAAAAACTATTTAATAAAGAAACAATTGAAATAAAAGACATTTATCCTAATAATATATTTATAGATGAAAGTTATATCATTTTTGATTTATTATTATTCAAAGAAATAATTGAAAAAGGATATGGAATGTATAAATCTTATTTTAATAATGTCGCAATTCAAAAATTTATTGAAACTAAATTTGGGGTTGTTGAAAAAAAAGCTCAAACTCAAATTATCAAGAATCGAATTGGATTCTTATTGTTTCTTTTTAACATTCAATAATTTTTTTTTGAAAAAGTATAATTCACTCTTGTTATTGTAATAAAAATCAGTTATTTTTCGTTTTTAAAAAGATAACAAATAAAGTTATGGTTTGACATTGAATTCTTTTTATCTTTTAAAATAAAATATTTTATTATTCACATAAAAATTGATTGAATTGATAAATCATTCATTGGGAAAATAACTGAATATTTTGTACCAATTTTCTGAAGAACTAATTTACAAATTTTTTCTCCAATTCTTAATATATCTTTAGAACCAAAAACTTTTTGATGGTAAAAAACAATTTGAGACATATCTATTCTAACTTTTGGAACCTTTCTATTTGACTTTTTTTCTTTAAAATAATATCCATATTCTATCAATAAATCTTGCATTAAATTTAATGATTCAATAATTCTATTTTTCTTTGCTCTTAATAATGCTACTTTTAAAGGAACATTCGTTGATACTTCAAATGTAACTATTTCTTTAATTCTTCTTTCAATAAATTCATGATAATCTACTGTATCTTCTTCTGACAATTGAATACGAACAACTTGAAGAAATGGTAGTGCAACTAAAGTTCTTCCAGCTTGTTTCATTACTTCAACAGATCCATGTTTATTCATTAATCCTATATAAAATGCCATTAATGCTGATTGATAATTTCTATTTCTTTTATAACGGTCTTTATCAATACACTTTATTGTTTCCATTGTTAAATAATAACCATTCAAGTTCTCTTTTTTAAGTTTTAAGTAATTACTTTGAGTTTAGAATTGCATATGCAAAGTTGTTGAATCTCCGCATTTCTATATTTATAATAATACCTTCTTTTCACTCTTTCTTTATTTATTAGTCTTTTATTATTTATTTTTAGATTAACAACTTCATTCTAAACTACTGTTTACCATTTTCTTGATATTATGATATTCTCAAAACTTTTACTTTGAAACCTTTTTTTTAGTACTTCCATTTCTTCATTATCTAGTTTGTTTACATTCTTTTTCCTCAACCCTTTCTTCATAAAAAGATATAAAACGTTATTCTTACCGATTAATCACTTTTTCATTTTTTAAATAACAAAAAATTATAAAAATTTTTTTATTATTTATTTTTTTTTATTTTTTTATTTTTTTTATTTTTCGGATTCGAAGGTAGCACGTCAGAGACACCACACAGATCCCTAAAATATTTCCATCCTTCGATTCCCCCAGTTATGGACTGGTTATGGCGTTGCGTTTGGTTAGAAAAACATCTTACCCAGCACTGCAAGAATAGCAGTGTTTATTATGTACAATGACAGAATATCATTGACAATAAACGAATGGGTATTTATAAAGATGGTATTATTATTTGTTAGAATACAAGTATAATTGATAATATAAGAAAGATTATCAAAGGAAAAGGGTCAAGTGGATGAGGCTAAAAGAATATTAGCCCAAAGCAATACAGTAGTAATTATATACTCTCCTTAAAATAAGAAAATAAAGAAGAAGAAATTTAAACCCATCGAAATTAAAAAGAAATTAAATAATGGATATTTAAATAAGGGATGTTTAAAATACTCTATTCCACACTAAAAATGAGAAAAGAAAAATCTCACAGTTCAACAACTAAAAGCAAAGAATAAGCTAATAGTTGAAGAACAAATACTTTTAAGCTCAGGGACGGGATTAGTCTCCCCTGAGCAAGGAACAATAGACACAAGTTCTATTAATACTTAATTAACTACTTTTTATTTTTTTTTATTTTTCATTTTTTCTTATACATTGAAAAACACAAATTTATTATATTTGATATTCAAAACCTCAATTTTATTAATATGGAAATATAATAGTAATAAATAATAATACACGAAAAACTCAATAAAACAAGAATAAAAAGAGAACGGAAAAAGAGAACAGAAAAAGTAAAACTAAAACAATGAGTGCCAAGCAAATGCAAAGAAGTTCTGAAGAAGAGTTGCTTGAATCTGAAGAAAATTTAAAAGAAAAAGAAAAGGCAAATGAAGAAGAACACGAAGAGGAAGAAGAAGAAGAAGAGGAAGAAAATGCTGCTGTACCAATAAGAAAACTTATTGGACTGGCTGGAATTACTGAAGGTGATTGTAAAAAATTAGAAGAAGCAGGATTTTTCACTGTTCAATCAATTGCTTTTACACCAAAGAAACAACTAATTACAATAAAAGGAATTAGCGATGCTAAAGCTGATAAATTACTTGCTGAGTCATCTAAAATAGTTCCATTGGCATTCACCAATGCAGCTGAATTAAATAATTTAAGAAAAGAAACTATTAGAATTACTACAGGGTCAAGGGAATTAGATAAATTACTGTGTGGAGGATTTGAGACTGGAAGTATTACAGAATTATTTGGAGAATTCCGAACTGGAAAAACACAGTTATGTCATCAACTATGTGTCACTTGTCAATTAGGAATAGAAAATGGAGGAACAGAAGGAAGGGCTATTTACATTGATACAGAAGGAACATTTAGACCAGAAAGACTAACACAAATTGCAGAAAAATATGGATTAAATTCAGAGGAAGCATTAAATAATGTAGCTGTTGCACGAGCACATAATACAGAACATCAAATGCAATTATTACAAATGGCTAGTGGGTTAATGGCTAAAGAAAGGTATGGGTTATTAATTATTGATTCTGCAACAGCACTGTATAGAACTGATTATAGTGGAAGAGGAGAATTAGCTTCGAGACAAATGCATTTAGCTAAATTTTTGAGGGCATTACAAAGGATTGCAGATGAATTTTCTGTTGCTGTAGTATTAACTAATCAAGTTGTAGCACAAGTTGATGGTCAAGCAAGTATGTTTGGAGGAGATACTAAAAAACCTGTAGGAGGGAATATTATTGCACACGCCAGTACCACTAGATTGTATTTAAGAAAAGGAAAAGGGGAAGCACGTATTTGTAAAGTTTATGATTCACCATGTCTTCCAGAAAGTGAAGCATCATTTGCTATTACTACTAATGGAATTGAAGATGTTAAAGATGATTAAAAAAAATATATTGTGAATGGAGAATGAAATTCAATTAAATTTGTTTTGGTTTATCTTTTTTATTTGAAGAATTTGGTTGAAGTTTTAAAGATTTAAAATAATGTAAAAAGCCAAATAGAGAATAAGATTTATAAGGTGTTCTATAATCATCATTAAGAATAACTAATTGCATTGATTGAATCTTAAAAGTAATATGGAAATAACCTAAACAAAATGCCATTATACGAACAATGGCAATATAAATGAAAATTATTACAATAGAATCAATAGTAGGAACATATAATGTATAAAACAGAAGGTTTACAGTTCCTGTTATAAGATTTGCTATTAAAAACAATGGGAGTTGATTTAAACTGAGTCCATTAGAACCAGCAGTTTGTTTAACAGGAAGGTACATTGGAATAACATCACAAATAGCATAACAAATCATCATTTGAGACATTAATGCAATAAAATATGTTAAATTAATTAATGGACGACAAGGAGGAACATAAAGAGAAATAATTTCATAAGAGATATAACCAATAAATGCTATAATAACAATAATAACATCTAATTTAAATCTATACTGTTTAGTACCTCCAAGTGTATAATAATATCCCATTGAAGTACTTGCAATTTGAATTGTAGTATATCCGATAATACTTAATAATCCTTCTCTATTTGCAGCAAATAAATTAGAAGTTCTGTCTGCTTTAAGTGAATAATTATATAAATCAAAGTATTGAAGAATTATTTCATATCCAATAATTAATATAATTGAAACAATACCACAATACTTTCTTGGTGAATGAATTAATCCAGTTAGTATTTGTACAAACCCTAATACAAAAAAGAAATTCATATGCATTCCATATTCGCTTATATGATGTTGATAACCAGTTGCACGTGTTGCAAACAAACGAATAAAACCTATTATAAAAAAAGGTAATGAGTGTATAACAGTTGATATTAAGTTTTTAAAATATGGAGTTTTATTCTCTTTTAACCCTGCAGCTACTCCACTACATACAACAATCGCACCAACTCCTGTGTCCATTAAAGATAATCCATAGAACTCACTTTTAGTATGCATTCGAGGAAATATATGAAAGTCAACTGCAAGAATTGCAATTAATGTCCAAAGATTAATCATACTTCTAAATTCTACAAACCCAACAGAAACAGCTGGATATATTGTTGGTGCTTGTCTTTTTGGATAATGACAACAAACAACTATATAAATAATTGTTAAAATAATAACTAAAGGATATACAATCGAAGAAAAAAACATAGGAATTAAAATTGCTGGAATGGATATAAATAAATCACTTAACACATAAACCACAAAATGTGAATGAAGGACTGGAAAGTAATGATGCAATAAATGATGAAAATAATTTAAATATATATTAATTACAAACATCGACAATAATAATAAATAACTACTCCCACTATAGTCACTTACAAATTCTATTTGTTCAATTTTATATTGCTCATCTGAAATATTTGGTTTATAAAAAATTGGCATTATTTTATTATTGTTTCTTTTTTATATTTTTTTTAGTTCTTTTTTATTAAATGTAATTTTATTAAATTATTTCTTTTGTTATTTTATTTCTTTTGCATTTAACTTTAATAATTAAAAATTAAAAAATATTAAAAAAACTAATAAAAATTTTAATTTTTAAGATTAACGTTTTTGAATGTTTTTTTTCCTAAAAAAACTAGAAAAGATAAAAAATAATCACAGATGTCTGGAGATTTAAATCTGGATGAAATCATCAACAGACTATGGAACTATGAAATGCTCGAAGAGTACATTATCTGTCAATTAACAAATAAAGCTATTGAAGTTATGTCTCAAGAACCTACAGTTTTAACTCTTTCATTACCATGTACTGTGTGTGGTGATATTCATGGGCAATTTCACGATTTAAAAGAATTATTTTCTATTGGAGGAACTCCACCACAAACACATTATATATTCTTAGGAGATTATGTTGATAGAGGGCATTATGGTTTAGAGTGCCTTCTTTTATTGGTTGCATTAAAATTACGTTTTCCTCAACGTATTTCTTTGTTGAGAGGAAACCATGAATGCTCACTTCAAACAAGAGATTATGGTTTCTATGATGAATGTATGAAAAAATATGGAAACGTTAATGTTTGGAAACATTGCGTAGCTTTATTTGAGTTTATGGCTACCGCAGCAACTTTAGATAACGAAATATTTTGTGTTCATGGTGGTCTTTCTCAAACAGCAACTGCCTTAGATGACATTAAAAAACTAGAACGTTGTAAACAAATTCCACCAACTGGAGCATATTGTGAATTGTTATGGTCAGATCCTGATGAAAATCAGTTAGAAAAATTCCATAAATCAAGTCGTGGAGCTGGTTGTATGTTTAATGCATTAGCTGTCCAAGAATTTAACCAAGTCAATAATACTCGATTAATTTGTCGTGCACATCAATTAGCCCAAGATGGTTTCCAGTGGTTCTTTAACAACACTTTAGTTACTGTATGGTCTGCTCCAAAATATTATTATCGTATGGATAATGTTGCTTCAATTATGGAAATTGATACTCCTACGAGTTATAGTTTCAAAGTATTTGAAGCAGCACCACAAGATCCAAAAGGTTTTGTTAGTAAAAGAAATTTACCAGAATATTTCATTTAAATTCACTTCTTTTTTCTTTCTTTCTATCATTTTTTTTTACTAATTTTTTTAATAACACTTTTTTTAAATTGTTAAAAGAAATATAAATTATAATAAAATAAGTTATATTTTATTATAACAAATAAACAAAAAAATGAAAAAGAAAAAAAAAAAGAAAAGACGATCAATATAAATTGTTAGATTAATGTCAACATTCTATCAACTCATTTCTAGTGTTGGATTATTTGTTACTCCAATTTTACCATTAATCTTTGGTGCACAAAGAGCTGAAAAAGCAATTAGAGAGAAAACAACAGAATCTATGGATTTAAAGAATGCGGCATCAATGCCAGTAATAGGAAGTCTTGTATTATTTGGATTATACGTTATCATT